GGATCAGAAGGGGGAGTTAGCACCCTTGATTAGCATATGGTCAATGGGGGAGGGAAAACCCTAAGCCCTTTGGCTAAAACAGTAATCAGCAACATCAACTTCCAAGCTCACATCAGTAGTAAACATTAACTCCACAGAGGCAGACAATGCCTAAATAGATTACAGAAATCTCAATAGGATTGTCCAGTGTCCATGCAAAGGGAGGTGGAGATATCTGGGCCCTGCCACACAGCGGGAAGTTCCTTGCAGCCCTGCCTTCAATGGAACAATACTCTTCACACCTTCCTGTCTTCCACACCCATCACAGGGACCCCAGCAGCCACTCATTTGGGAGACCAGGATGAGGCTCCTGGCTCCTGGCTTTAGCCAGGCTCCACCCTGACCTTTGTGGCCCTAGGGGCGATGGTAGGATCCTGCATCTTGTATCTGACTGCTTGGGTTCAGTTGAAGCTCTGGCTCCTGCTTCCTACTCATGTAGATCCTTGGAGGCAGCAGGTGATGGCCGCATTTGGAATCTTGCTACATGGAAGACTCAGGTTTGACATCCTATCCCTCAGGATTAGCTGGTCCAGCCCTGCCAGTTACAGGCATTTGGGAAGTGAAGCGGCACCTTCACCTTGCCTGTTACTTACCATTGTTGAAATCTGATTCTTAAAATGAAAATACTGTCTCCTGTTCCTTTGTTGGAGGGTTGAAATAGTGAATGCATGCGCATTGGAGGCCCCAGAGTGCTGTAGAGGGACCTGCTCTCATTTTGACATCAGAAATTATGTCTACGCATTTCAGGCTGTGATGTGTAGTGGTGTGATGGTCCCACACTGACCTTGATTTTAAAGCACGTTGTTTACCTCAGTTGTTCATTAAATGTGCTGATCAAAAGCCAGATGTCTTTGACCACTATGCCCCCAAATTCTCAGTAATCCTCTTCTATTCTGTTATTTAGCATAATTGGAAGGTCAAGTCCTGGCATTGCCGCTATTTAAAATAATAACGACCTTGGAGTCAGCCAAGGCCATGGCTAGAACAGCTCCTGTCCAGAGGAAAACAGCTCCTAGAAAAGTAGATCGAAGATCTACCAAAATAATGGGAAAGAAAATTGACTCCATTTAGTATCCCTTCAAACCTGTCTCCCTTGAAAGAGTGTGGTGCCGGTAGTAATTCTATCAGCTTAATTGTATGGAAGCCAAAGAAAGGTTCGAGCTGTGCTTGTGTTTAGTGTCTCTCCTACAGCTCAGACTGAAGTGACTGTAAAGGGTAGGGACGGGCTGGCCTAGCAGGGAGCAGCAATGGACTTGTTACCTTCTGGCTAATTTCCATATCTACATAGATCTTTGTAGGATACTGAACTTAGCACCTGATTTGTTGATTTGCTGTTGAGCCTAAAGGATCCTGCCTGGTAAGAATGGCTTACATTGCTGCCATTCAATAGGGCACGGGAAGGGGACAGGCAGATAGCTGGAGGGACCTCCCCCCTAAGCAGAGCCCACCTGGCAGTTTTGCATAAAGATCTGTTATGACGTTCACTTTTTAAAATGAAGGAGAAATTAGTGAATGAGGGACCGTGCCCGCTCACACCCATTCTCCTTTTATTGTCGTGGTTAGACTTTTGGATTTGTGGGGATTTTTTTTTTTTTCCCAATGCTTCTTAGAGTGAAAACATGAATGTTCACTCCAATTTTACATTATAATCCTTAAACTTTGTAGGATGCAAGACCCTTACGCTTGAGGCTGCTGGTTAATGATAGTAAATCTTGAATCGTGCATGGTGAGCTGTGTACATACTAAAAGGAAGTAGTGTAGTTAGGTTGTGATTGCTATTATCTCAAGCCTTTGGTATCTCTCTTCATAACCAGTAGGAAGATATGTTGTGTGCTCAGGTATTTACAGTTGGACTTTATGATAATCATGAAAATCCTCTGTATCCCAGTCATATGGATAACTTCAGCTATGTACTCGTATGTGTGTGTGGACAAGTGGATGGACGATATTTACAATACAGGTTCTCCTTCCAGGTAATGTTTAGCAGCTTCTCCGTGTCCACCTGAGGGCGCTGTGTTTGATTTGATTGACTTGGAGTCTGTGATCCCAGACTCATAATTGCCTTTCTGTCTCTCTGGACATCAGATCACATCCTCTTTGCACACTTTCCCAAAGTGTGAGATGGAGCAACAACAGGCTAAAACGATGAATGTTTGCTATGTAAAGCACACAGAGGTGTTTTATTAGGCCTTCATTTCTGCTGATTTAAGAGGTGCTATTGACTCAAACCAATGGATTCTCGAGGGATAGATTATTTTCAGATTGTTATGTGAGTGTTCTCTGGTTTCCTTGACCTAAGTTAAAATGATCTTTCCCATTGGGGGTGGGGAGGGGGGAACAAAAACTAGTTGCTGCAAGTGGCCGGGAGAGTGAGCAAGAGAGAAAATTCCATCAGCTGCTGCACTCCCCAGATGCTCACAGTGGCTGAGACGAGCCAGGTTGCAACTTGGAATTAGGAGCCAGAAATGAAACAAGTGTAAAATGTGCCCGTTTGGGGCCCGGCGCAGTGGCACAGTGGTTAAGGTCCTCGCCTTGCACGCCCGGGATACCATATGGGCGCTGGTTCTATCCCGGGAGACCTGCTTCCCTTCCAACTCCCTGCCTTGCGCTCACTTGGGGAGTGAATCATCGGACGGAAGATCTTCCTCTCTGTCTCTCCTCTCTGTATGTCCGCCTTTCCAATAAGAAAATAATAATAAAAATAAATCTTTAAAAAAAATGTGCCTGTTTGCTTAAGGCCCACCTCCAATATTGTTACCACTTTAAAGACTTTTTAAGCATCTTCAAAGATATCTATTTTTCTCCTTTTTTTTTTTTTTTAGATTTTATCTAATATTTTTATTTGAAAGGCAGAGATACAGAGGAAAAAAGGAGAGACAGAGAGATATTCCATCTGCTGGTTCCCTCTTTAAATGGTTGCAATGGCTGAAGCTGGGAACCAGGAGCCTTTTCTTTTTGCTTACTTTCTTTCTTTTCTTTTCTTTTCTTTTTCCCTCCACGAGCCTCTTCTAAGTCTCCCATGTGGTTGCAGGGACCCAAGAACGTGGACCATCTTCTGCTGCTTTCCTGGCCATCAGCAGTGGAGCAGTCGGGGCTGTAACTAGCAGTCACGCCTTCCAGCTGCCTCTGCCCTCTGCAGAAGGAGAGGAAATTTCCAGCTTCTGCTAGATGCTCCTTTGTTTGGTCCCTGGGTCCCTGTCCGGGAGGCTTGGGACAGGGTGGTTGGAGACCACTAGCCATGCATGCCAGCCCTGCCCCTGGGGAGCTGGTTCCTGCCAGGAAGCCAGGGTGGAGCCAGGCCCTGGACTCCGGTCTCCCGGGGGTGGTTGGATGAGACTGGCTCTTGCTGCTCACAGACGGGCTCCTTGTTCTCACGCCAAGTGTTGCTCTTGGCCCAGGAGACTCCCAGCACAAGAGGGACTCTGTGGGGCTCCCAGCCTGGCTATTTTTGCTCTTTGACTTCAGACCTCACTTCCCTTTCCTTCTGAAAAGAATAAATAATACAAACAGCAAAGAGCAGCAGTTCCACTTGGGAGAGACACCTGTGGTCTTCAGCTCCCAGCGTTGACACAGTCCCTATTCCTGTCTGCACATCAGCCTTCAGCAACGGGCAGCAGTGACTGGAGATTAAGGGACAATGTAGGCCCAAGACCCTGCTTGGTGGAGGGTGGGAACCCAGCAGAAATGGTTCTTCTCTCTCTGAAAAGAAGACAGGACCAGGAAAGAAAACCCATGTTTGGTTAGAGTTGTTTGCAAAATTTTGGCTAAGATAGAACTACATAGTTGTACTTTCCCAGAGTTGGGGGGCGGTATGTTTGTATTCATAATTGGAGACCTGTGCAGTTTTGCCTGTGGCAGGTGAGAATGAGAGAAGTGAATGCCGGTTGTGTGAATACACCATTGTGCCTGCGGTCTTCGTTGGCCTCCCTGTGTGGTTGGTCTCTGCCTTTTGGGGCTGTAACAGCCTCAGTGATATTTGCATACAGCAAGGCCCACACGTGATCTCATCTGAAATGCCATGAACTCATCTGGCCTCTTGTGTGTGACCACACAGGACAGGTCCTGCTTCTTAGAGTATGATGATCCTCAGGGTTGGGGCTCACGCTGCCTACCTGTGCCGGTTCTTCCCTTCGACCTCCATCATTGTGAATTCCTTTTTCTGCTTGTTGTCTTCGATGTCTAACATGTTCATCCATGGCATGTCCAATTCAAAGGAGACCAAGAATAAAATGTTTGGAAGCAGGTTGCAATTCAGTAAACAGGTAAGATGCTGATGTAGGACAGCTGTGGCTGCGTTAATAAAATGCTGACCACCTCAGTGTTTAGAAGATTATCTTTTGGACCTTGTAAGTCTGTTCTCCGATGTGCCACTCCACCTTCCATACCTTTCACATGTTTCCATTACTGGCCTGTTTCAAGGGTCCATCTGGTCTCTTGTTGAATTCTGAAGCTTTTCCTGGATACTCTCCCAGGGAATGTTGGATGCAGTTTGGAATTCAAGAATATTGCAAAAGAGTGCCACTTTGTAGATATTTATGATCAAATGGGAAAAAGTCTTACAACGTGTGAAAGAATTTCACCTCCTACTTGAAAGCAGAGTTACAGTGACAGCTAATATACAATACCAGCCAGTCGACTTTATTAAATGACAAAGATTAGATTGTGTGTGATGTGACTGTTACTTGCATAGTCGCCTGTGCTTAGTGACACTTACCTTGTTCTTGGGTTCCTTGAAGCTGTAGGAAGACAGGGCAGTGAGCCTTGACGTCCGTATTCTTGGTGTGCACCTGTCTTTCTGTTCTTCCCTGGCTTCTTTCCGTATCAGTCCTTTTGTCTCTATCTCCATACGATGCTTTCAGGTCTGCTCATTTGGACTACAGATCCACCTGCCCATGGAGCTCACCTCACTATTTGTTCTCTTTTAATACAGTTTGCTTTTTTGTTTTTCCATTTCCCAGCAGATATATGGAGTGATCACTCATTTCACACCGACCCGGATTTGCCGCCTGGCTGGAAGAGAATCAACGACATCGCTGGAACCTACTATTGGCACATCCCCACGGGAACCACTCAGTGGGAGCGGCCTGTCGCCGTCCCAGCTGACGTCCAGGGCTCCAGGAAGGGGTCCCTTAGTTCTGTAACATCATCTCCCACCCCAGAGAATGAGGTAAAAGCCCAGTGCCTCCTTCCTGACTTAGTAGAGTGAGCATAACTTGTGATTTCTCCCTAGACTAGTTGCTTGTGCCCCAACAGGTCTTGGAGGTAAGTGGTTTTTGGTGGCCCTGCATGTTGTACTTGAAATCCCAGTAGTGCTTCCTCCTGATACACAGTGTTAATATCCATCTTCCAGGGGTGTTCTCATTTTTTAATGGCTTTGTGTGTCTTGAAACATTGTTCCAGGTAGAGAGAGCAAGGAGGGGGTACTGATTAACCAGAAGTGGTTAGGGCTCCCTGGGGCTCTGGGAAGTGGTGTTTTATTCTGCAGGTACCACTGCAGGGTGCTAGATACATAAAATATTTACAGGCGGGAGCCTGTCTCTGGGCCAACGATGCTCTAATTGCCCTCGGTTCCTTTGTGAGGTGTCTGCTAGACTGGCCCTTGAGAGTCCTTAAATGTATCATTTCTATTTAAAAAAAAAAATCTGTTTATATAGCAGAAGTGACATTATCTTAGAAAAAATTAGCAGAAATTTCTGCTTTCCCTGAAGAAGTCTGGATGTTTAAACAATGCACTGAGGCATTTAAAAATGCCACTGAGGTATTTCTGAAGACGTATTCCAGCAGTGACCATTTAAAATATATATATATGTGTGTGTGTGTGTATGTCTGTTATTTTTATCAGAAAGATGTATAGAGAGAAGGAGAGACAGAAAGATCTTCCATCCACTGGTTCATTCTCCAAGTGGCCGCAATGGCCAGAGCTGAACTGATCTGAAACCCAGAGATTCTTCCAGGTCTCCCATTCAGGTGCAAGGTCCCAAGGCTTTGGGCCACTCTTGACTGTTTCCCAGGGCACAAGCCAGGTAGCCACTAGGCTATCACGCCAGGCCCCAGCAGGGAACTTTTGTGGAGCCTGAAAACAAGATCATCACGAGGATGACAACTGAAGAGGCCATGATGCTGGTTGACACTTGGCCCTGCTCATCGGGCACAGGCTTAGCACCTTCTGAAGCCACGAGTTAGCACTACCCACCCCTGGGTGATTCTGGTAGCTTTTTATGGAAGTGTAATGCCCTACACCCTGCCCAGTTTCCATTCTGCTCTCTGCTCATTTAGCGTCAGAGATTCTGCGAATGAAGATGAACCAACACAGCCCCAGCCCTCTAGGAGCCTGGCATGAGTGCAATTCCTCCTCTCTATGCCACAGGGTGGGGTCCTGGAACCTGGGCCAGCCTGGACTAGTCCCTGTACCCACTAGGCCTGTGCTGTGCCCTGTCTTCCCCATCCATATGTCCCTGTCATCTCTACTAGCATCTTGCTCCTTTCCAGGGCTTTCATTCCTCCTCTTCCAATCCTTTAGCCCTCCTCAGCATTGGAGAGTAGCTGGCACCCCAGAGAATGCTAGGGCAGGGAGGATCCCATCAGCACCCCATGGGTTACCGCAGGGAAATTGAGGCACAGAAATGTCAGTGAGCAGGGGCAACTCTAGGTTCAGAATACTCAACTCCTGCATCCTGCTCACTCAGCTTCGCTGGCTCAGTGTGTGTGCAGCCTCGCTGTCCTGGATGGGAGGGGACCAGGCTGGCTCTGAGATACAGAGCTTCTGCCCCATGACCCTCAGGCCCCCTGTTTTGGGATGTAGTGGAGCCCCTCTTAAACCTGCCTGCTGGGATCAGCACCTATGTATGGTGGAGCCCAGGGAAGGCACCTTGAGATGCCTGCATCTCCAATTTGCTCCTCTCTGATTCATGTTTGTAGCAAGTCCTGGGGAGCAGGGGGAGCAGGCCCTGCATGGAAATGTCCTGAGCCAACTTCCCCTCTAGCCCCTGCACCTGCAGATGCCCACTTCTGCCCACTGTTCCTGATCCCATCCGCCACTCAGAGCCCGTTCCTAGGTTCAGAAAGGTTCACACCCCCATGGAGCGCCACATTCCCCTCACATATCCCTCACTGCTCCTACTGACTGTCGTGGCACTCATGGACCTCGTTTCATTTGATGCTCTCAAAGACAGTATGGTGGCTGAGAAGGGGGCTGTTAGGGTCCCCATTCAAGGAGCAGAGGCTCCTGAGCTACAGTGAGCTGAACAACCGTGCAGCTGGTATTGCATCAGCTCTGCCACCCAGGACCCTGTGGATTTCTCCCTTGTCTTTGTTCCATTCCTGTCTTTTGCTGCTAACCTTGCCATCATAGTTATATGATCTTAACCCCAACCCCATAAAATTTGGCTAATGGATACAAGATTTTAGATAATCCAGAGAAGAGAAATAGAGTGACTCTGATCCAGCACTTTAGTAAACCAGTAGGACACCCAGGTGCCCTTCTCACCAGTGTTTCCATGCACTGAATACATTGTCCATTAAGCCAAGTAGATTTCAAGAGTGGTGAGCTAAAATCATCCAGGCACAGGGACAAGTAGGGAGAGAGTTGGGGCAAAGATACAACCCTCTAGCTACCAGGACGCAGCGATCCTGACATGGCTGTTCAACCAGAGACAGGAAATTTGTAACACCAGACTAACTCTTTGTCTCATGACTTCCCGTCTACTCCTTGTGTACCTGCTGCTCAAGTTGTCATTCCATTTAACATTGGACAACGCTGGAACTCAGGGAGATTAAGGAGCTTGTACAAGGTTGTCACCCAGGAACCTCCGAAACAACATGGAGGTGCATTAGAACCCCCAAACCTGGGTTCATAGAACATCAGTCACTGTCATCAGGGTGGAGGACGGAAATGGGTGTTTATTGTAAAGTGCAGAGCGAGAAGCTGGACAGCTACTGCTTAATTCTTGCATTCCCCATGGATTTAGGGGTAAAGGTTCTTATAGACTGAAACTGGGACTATGAAGTGCATGGTCAGCCCATGTCCAAGTTTCTGGTTAGTCATTGGTGATTGTGGTCTTTCTTGCATCGGCCAAGGATGCTGTGCTGTTTGAGGAGTTGATCGTGGCCAGGTGGGCTCCAGTTGATGGGAGAGGGGCGGGATTATGTGTAACTGTTACCTTCTGCCCCGGGATCTTGAATTTCCCTGCCTGGGTCTGGAATTCCCCTAAACAAACCAACCCCTCTGGACAGTCATGTCCAACAAATCACTGAGTCCAGTGATTAGAACATTGTTGGGCCAATAAAGGACAGGCAGGGAGATAGCCAAGGCTGGGTCCCGTCTGCCTTCACATAATAGCAGCTTGGTCTCAAGCTAACACTGTTGATAGATCGTCAAGCTTGAATTCAAATCCATTGAATCCCTTTTTCCACCCCAGGCTTCTGGTATTATAGATCTAGGAAGCTTGGAGAATCCTAGATCTGTTCATCTCACTCCAAGGGGGGCTTGTGTCCCACCCAGAGCCTTCTAGAAAATGACTTCTCAGAATCACTTTGACGGGTGCTAATAACAGTTGAGTTGAAATGATTATTTCTCTAACACCATTTATTGGTGTTAGAACATACTTAGAACATATTTAAGTTTGAGAAGTGAGAGAAATCAAGATGTTGAAACAGGGAGCGAAGAGGCTTGTAATATGTTGGAAATGCATGTTTTGTTCAGCTTTTCCCTGAGCTGGTTTAAAAAAGAAAAAAACAAATAGCAAATCTGTTGATTTCACAGAACTTGAGGACGGATTTCACATTCCAAAGTTCACTCAGGAAGTGCTAACTTAAGGGGTAATGTTTCCACTGTGCTTGGTAGAGTGGTTTCTCAGACACTGTGAACGGTCCAGGAAACGTTTGCTGCTGAAATTTGGCTCAGAGCACTCCCTCTCCACCCCGCCCCCAACCAGTTATCTGCTCCAGATTCCTGGGATGTTGAGTTTTCGATAGACGAGAGAATCATACGAAGCATTCTTGTGAATAACCATTGGCCCGTGCCCAAAAAAGACTTACTTCACATCTTTTCAGTGAAAGGTTTCCCCAGGCAGAGTGTGGAGAAAACAGGTTTGAAGCTGGAGAAGGCGGATTGGGTATCACAGCAGCGGTGTCTTCATGGGCTATAAGTCACTGTTTCTTGCTCCTGGCTGAGGGCGCCCTGAACTGCCAGCTCCCCGCATGCCGTGTGTTGGAGCCTGGGCATCCCTGTGTGCACTTAGAAGAGTGATGCCAGGAAAGGGCCATTCCACCCTCATGCTGCAGACCCTTGTGACCCGGTCTGGGCATCGTGGCCAGTGTAGATTTGCAGGGAAGTTCGGCAGGAAGGCCTAGAGCATGTTAGGGCAGTGTTTTCTCACCCTGGAGACCAAGGACCATGGCCAGGAGGGTTTTGGCGCTTGTGAACTGTGATGATTCCTTAGCCACAGAGTTGGATGCTCTGGGGGTGCGCCCGGGAACCTGCCTTCCAAGGGCGTTGATGCCACGCAGGCGGGACAGCCAGACTTCAGCAGAGCCACAGCCCCCTGTTTTGACTTGGATGTTACTTCCTCTTGCATTCGTTGGCCCCAGTGTCTCCTGCTTTAAAAGTCCTTGGTCGGCCACCTCCCATGTGACACCCAAGTGTCTGTACTTCAAGCTCCTGGGGTCAGGGCCTGGTCCCCTCATCTGGTGTCCCCCACATCTTGCCTGGGAGCAGGCCCATGGTGAGATACATGGACTCTTGGCTGAAGGAAGCTGCTGGTGGACTTGCTCTTGCGGTCAAGTGAGCTCAGCTCGTGTGGACTGTGGGATCTCCATGGCACTGCTGCTCAGACACGCGTGTATCCCACAGGCTTGTGTACCTCTGTCGGGCTTGACATGTTTGATGGCTCCGGATTTTGTGTGTGTGTGTGTGTGTGGTGAACTAGAATTCTGTTCTCATCTAACCATGCCATATCCACCACAAACACAGAATCTATTCAGAAGTATGCCTGTCCAGATGGATACAGTGCTTATTTGTACTATCTGGCCTGTGCTTCAGAATTGTGGAACCCCAGAGTTTCTGCCATTGGCCATCCTGGCCACACCCCTGGCAAAGACTCAAGCCTTGACAAAGCAGGACAGTGTAGTTTATAAGGCTCCATCATCATCAACTTTTTCTTCCTCCATGAAAACACAGAGGAGCGGGCAAGAAAACTGTCATCTCCAGGATCCCTTCAGACTGCCAGGCCCCAGGCTGAGAGCTGACATTCTTGGTCTCACCTTTGCACCTCGGATAGCAGACTTTCTCAGCCCCGTCCTCTACATGAGAGAACTGGGCTTTGCAGCTTGCTGGACCAATTCCAGGGTGAGAGGAGGGGAGAGCCCAGCTTCCATCAGAACCGCTGGGGGTCGCCCGAGTGCTTTTCCCATCCACCTGCTCCACTCCCGCCCTCCAGTGTGAATTCTGATCACATTTCACTCTTTTTGGGCTCCCTGTCCCAGTCAGTAACTGATCAGCTTATCCATGTGGAGGCCAAGATGTCCAAGATGGGGAAACCGCTCCTGGTGAGGACCTTCTTGCTGTGTCCAGCCATGGCAAAAGGGCAAAGAGAAGGTGATAGAGTGAAACAGCAGTCATCTGCTGACAGAGGTCCCTCCTGGCCCTGCACACCTGCGGTCACACTGCTGTACCAGGATGCAGTCAAGCCACATTATACTGGCTCTTTCTGACTTCTTGCATCCTAATCAGAGCACATCTTTAAAGAACACCCATTTTCCTTTAGTTCATAATGTAAAAAGGACCACCTGGGTGGGGGTCAGTTCCCAGAATGCTCAGTTTCTTAGGGACAAGATCAACCAAAAGTATCTTGACCTTGATGGAGACATAAAGGTCGTGATTTTGATTCTTATCACATAGTTGCCTTTCACAGAAACTTTCCGACTTGCCCCCTCAGATAAAAGATGCTGGCTCCATCGTCAAGAATGTGTGGTGGGACTCCCTCAGTGGGTCTGCCTCTGTGCTGAGCCTGCATGGTGCTGCAGGCCCCTGGTAGGCGCCATGCTCTGGGTACCAGGTCCGCCCCACAGACACCCCGTCTCACGAGCCAGACCCCCATGCTTTCCCAGGACTAGATGAATGTAGTCAGCATTTCCAGAGCCAGGACAAGCACCAGGAGAGCGAGTCCCCAGCCTTGGCATCAGCAGTCTCTAGGTCTCTAAGTTGGGGAGTTGTTTCCTGGGGAAGATGGGCTGGGTCCATCCTTGATTGCCTTCCTTCCACCTTTGTGCCTTCCTGCAGGCGTCTTGTTCCACCTGGCTTTTATTCCTTTATTGCCCTTCTTTTTGCTTCTGTCTCCCATGATCTCTCCCACCCACCTACCACACTACGGGCTGCCTACAGATTTGCTGTCAGATCAAGAATCTATGTTGAGTTTTTTCTGCAAAGTTAATTGTTAACATCACCCACCAACCAGAGAAAATATTCTGCATGCTTAATTAAAATGAGTCGGATGAAGAGACCAAGTAGTTCTTAAAATTTGACAAAGGGCTTTTGTATTTCATTGAGCTTGATTTTTTTTTTTTAATAAAAAGAGAAGTTGTGCTCATTTCTGTGAGAGGAAGTGCCTCAGTTGGGAAATAAATGGATAGTTTTAAATCTAGGAAGGAGAAAACGATCTCTAAGATATATAACACCAGCTTCCATTTTCCTGACTTGAGGTTTATGCTAAAGCGTTTTTCTAGGTGTATCTGTGTTATTTTAAGTTTGTTTCTTTTTCCAGAAACCCTCTACAGCGCTTTTGTTATTTAAATCTGTAAAAGGTGGTTGTTGGGAGTTTGCCAGCTGACGGGTGTTTCCGTGGCCTGAGTACTAGATTCAGATGGTCTTAGAACTTTCATCAGCTTTCACTTAAACACTCCTGTGTGCAGAGAGTAAATACACAGAATGTAAAGGCTGCACCCCCCCCCCCAGAAAGCAGGGTTGGCCAAGCGCCGAGGCTCTGCCGTGGGTTTGTTTTAGCAAAGGCTCTTTCCACTCTCTCTGGCCCCAGTGTAGTGTCTCTCGAGGACCACTTCTAAATTCACGTTTCTTCCGGCAGACACCTCTCCTTTACTTTTCATTTTTTCTTTTAGATGTCTCCCTACTTCATCGTCTCATGTGTAACTTCTATGAAAAAACAAATAGTACTCACATGGACCCTGAGATGATGACTTGAGGCCACATAAGCCTATTTCTTTTTTTTTTTTTTAAGATTTATTTTTATTATTATTTTTTTTCATTGGAAAGGCGGATATACAGAGAGGAGATACAGAGAGGAAGATCTTCCATCCGATGATTCACTCCCCAAGTGAGCCGCAACGGGCCGATACTATGCCGATCCGAAGCCAGGAGCCTCTTCCGGGTCTCCCACGCGGGTGCAGGGTCCCAAAGCTTTGGGCCGTCCTCAACTGCCTTCCCAGGCCACAGGCAGGGAGCTGGAAGGGAAGCGGGGCTGCCGGGATTAGAACCGGCGCCCATATGGGATCCCGGGCGTGCAAGGCGAGGACTTAACCACTTGCGCCACCGCGCCGGGCCCCATAAGCCTATTTCTTTAAAAAAAAAAAAAAAAAAGAAAAGAAGAGAAAGGAAAAAAAGGATATTCTGGTTCAAAATTGTGCCTGGTATTTGAGGTCCTTATTGTGGGTCGCTCTGAATCCCCTCCAGTGGTGACCCTGCCAGACCTTTTGGTGTCTGCCCTCTCTGAAAGGAGCCTTAAGGCGGGCGGTGTATCTTTCTGCTGGGAATCGCACTTGATCCAATAGCACATCCGGTTCATTCAGTGGATCACAGCTCCCCTGAACACACGGGTTTGTGTTCTCCTGAGTTCCTGATCTCTTCTTCAGGGAAGAGGGAACCCTGCTCTGGGGTAAGCAGAAGGAAAGTGGAGAGGAGTTGGCTTTAGGTAGCGTTCCTACCCTTTGGTTCCCGCAGAGAAATCATTTTGAGAAGGACCTTAAGATCTTTTGTGTTTGGCCAGCACTGCAGGTCAGGTGCTTCCTCGCCTGGAACCTGGTCCCAGGTGATACCAGCAGTGCTGCAGGGACAAAGGTCCTGATTTGCAAGCTCTCCTCCAGGCGAAATAATTGTATCTTTCAACACAGAGATCACTCGGACTTCACTTCTACTTCTAGTGGTTTTAGAGACCGTGTTGATGGAATAGAAACGTCGCATCGGATGCCACCTCTCATTTTCAGACTCGTCAATTGAAAAGTTAGTTAGTTGAAAAGTTTCCATGGTTGATTTATTGGCATAGCAAGAGAAAAGATTGATCGGACAAGTCTGTGGCATAAACAAGCTGGTCCTTGAATCAATTCACTTCACTCATCTCCCCAAATCTTAGAAGTGAAAACTGTTTGACTATCAGAGCCCACGGGGTTAGTAGGTTTCAAAATCCATGGGTTGCTCTGTCAGGTCTGTAGATGGTGTCGTGTTTGCACACACTGGCTTGCTCAGGGCCCCTAGTCCCAGGAAAGTGCTATGGAAATATGGCTGTCAGCAGTGTGTACATACGGACTACAGAGCCAGGCCTTTCCTGGTAGGGCCCTCAGGTGCAGAGGCCACGCACCTGCAGAGGCTGACTCCTTTACACTGCAGGCGACGAGAAGCCACGTGCTCATAGTCTGAGCTTGCAGTGGGTGGTTTGTTTTAAAGGCCCATTGTGTGCAAGGTGTCCTGTGGGAGTTCATCCGACCAGTCAAGGTTTCATGTTTTGTACATAGTCATGTTCAGGTCAGGAACTCAGATTCCTTGGTGAGCTTTGGCTGGATTAGAGGAATTTGCATCAGGTTGCTTAGAGCTGCTTTGGGTTCAGTTGGGTTTCATCTAGATGTTGGGGTCAGTCTGTTCTCCCTGCCAACCCTCTCTCCCTTTCATCGTCTATTGTCTCTTGGAAGTGAAAGGTAACTTGAACTCCCTGTTTGTATATCCTGGGCCCCGGGCGTCGTCCAGTGACCAAGCCAACACAGTGTCGTCAGTCCCAACCCCAGCCAAAAGCTGGATCCAGGGGGTCCGTGGGAGTCGGTGTGCTGGGTGTTTAATACTCGGTGAGCATGAGGTTAGCTTTCCAGTGAGCGTTTATCGAGCAGCGGCCCCATCTGCACCCCATGAGGCTCATCACTTGTTTTGGGGAGTGATTAAGGAGCCCTGTTTTCTGCCTGGCTCTAGAGGCAGTAAGCGAGGGCCCACGCCTATGAGTTAACAAGCTGGCCGGGATTTTGTTCCCTAACCCATCCCGTGACTATGATTGCTAACACAGTGTCTTGTGTTTTTTTTTTTTCTTTCCTCTGTGTCCTGTTGTCTTTTTGTTTGTTTCCTTTTTTTTTTTCTTTACATCAATGTGCTTTCTCCTCTGTGTGAATAACTGTGTGTCTAGAAACAGCCATGGAGTGATTTTGCTGTTCTGAATGGGGGAAAGATTAATAGTGACATTTGGAAGGCAAGTATATTGTCAGCTCGGAGAGCCCGCGTTTCCCTTTCTGCATGGCTGTGGCTGTATGTCCCTTCTCTGTGAGCATCGTGCCTCGTGCAGGGTCGCAGTAAGTGGGCTTCTAGCTAGGCGCCTCCAGCTCACACTCACACAGCTCTCTTAAGATCTCCCTTGGCAAATGCCTTCAGACTCACTGTGCCCATTCCCTGTGGTCCCGTGAGAGCGGGCACTTGCACCCGGTCCGCTCCCAGCAGCCCTTGCATGCCTGCTGTCACCTGAGCTCACAGCCACTCTCTGCCTCTCGCTGGGACGTCTCCTCTGGCCTCTGGCATTGGAGATGACGTCACGGCCACTCCCACGTTGTGCGTTAACATGGATGTGTCTTCCCCCAGGATTTGCACGCAGCCACGGTGAACCCGGACCCCAGTTTGAAAGAGTTTGAAGGCGCAACTCTACGCTATGCATCTCTGAAACTCAGGTAGGGCATTGCGTGGAGGTGCGCCAACACACGGCTCTGTGCCACTGGGATTTGTGCCAGAATTCTAAGCCCAGCTCTGCTTTTTGCTTCCAGAAATGTGCCACATTCAGACGATGACGATTCCTGTAGTATCAACAGTGACCCGGAAGCCAAGGTTTGTGAGAGTAACGGGGCTTTCAGCGACCGGGTTAATATTCTTACGTCAAAGTAATGACTCTGGAGAATGGCCCAGTTTTTACAAACCACCTGCCCAGAGCCACTTATTAAGTAATTACCACGTTGATCTTGTCTCTCCCCTAATTAATCTCCTTAGCACTCTAAGAAGATCTCCAGGCCACAGTAGGGTTGGGGAGGGCTTGGGATTTCGATCCATCAAGTTCTGCATCCGCGCTTGGCACAATGCGGGACATCAGAAGTGTTCTTCCCAAGAGTGGGTATCTGAAGCTCAGAACGACACGCCAGGCTGGACCAGGCATGGAATAGGAGAGGTGCAGGACTCCTCAGATCCACCGCTGCCAGCACAGCTTCATGCCTGTGTCACATGAACAACCTGCCACCCCCACTGTCAGCCCCAGGGGATGTCATCCCTTATCCCACCCCCACCTCCAGCCAACAGCTAACAGAGATGCAAGGGAGGACAAGCTGCTCTCTGTCCCGTTTTCTAAGTGTGTGCTGGGTGCCGGCAGGCTCGACAGGTGGGCACATGGCCGATGCAGCCAGATGCTAAAATTGACCTGCAGGTTTTTCTTAATGATCCCTGGTGACAATAACAATCTTCCGGTTTGCATTGGTTCAGCTTTGTGATTCTCTTACTTTCTGATAGTGCAAAAGCAGTGAGAGTGTAGCGGGAACTATACCTGAGATTTATAACGTTGCTGTTTTCTTGGGCCAGCGGCTGTGGCTCCATCTTCTCTAGACAGTGGTGATGGTGACCCCAGATCCCAGGGGAAATGCCCAACACTCCACAGAGTCGTGGTGTCCCCTCGGCTGGGCGCGGTCAGTGTGTTTTCTGTCTAGGAAGTGTCCTGCTTCAAATGCGATTCTTGCAATGTAACCCCACTGTAAGTCTCAGAGCATCTGCGTTTCCCTCGGGGATTCTTAGGGTGAATGGCCGAAGCCTGGAAGGCAATGCAGATGCCACAAGGATGCTTGTGGACTACACGTGCGTGCAGCGGCCCTGTGCCACTCGCACGTCCTGGAAGTCCCCTGTGCTGTGGGAAGTCGGCATCAACAAGGGGGGCCCACAGGTGTGTTGGGAGGAATGGGAGACTTTAGACTCTGCTCCGTATAACTCATGCAGTGCTCAGGCCTTCCTGGGACATAAGCCCTGGCTCAGGCTTCACTAGAAAATCATTGTCACAATGACTCGGGGCGCTGAGTGGTACCTTGGGCAGGGCTTTCATGATGCCAACTTCTCTTCACACAAGTGCCATGTGGGCAGGTACGCAAGATGAGGCCTGGAGAGCAGGGCAGTCAGGAGGCCAAAGCTGGGGTCTGACTCTAGTGTTGCAGATGTAGAGAGACACTGAGACATTTGGAATTTGCCACAGCTGGTGCCATGGGGCATGTGTCCTTGAAAACCATGGGCAAACAGCAAGCAAAGGGGCATGAGGAGTGATCACCAGGAAGGTTATGATGGGAGGCTGGGAGATGCCCCCCCAACTCCCTGGATAGAACTGCTAGGCTGGAAAGTCCAGATCCCTTCAGACTCTCAGCATGGAGGCGCTTCCGAGCCTCTTGGCTTCTTGGCAATCCCACATTCAATGAAAGCTCAATATGCAGTGAAACCCCAGTGATGGCAGTAGCGGTGGTGATACGGAATAGCCACGCACACTTGTGCACACGCATTTGCTCACTTGCACTCACACACACACACGAGGGCACCCTCAGGCATGTACATGCATAGCCATTCCCCCAAAGACTGTGTGTCTTTGAAAATGGGTTTCGAGCCCACCCAGTTATACAGTGAGCTTGTTTAGAGCCGATGGTGATGTATCGTCTGTTTGGGTGCAAGCCAGAGCTCTATTTAACCTTTTTCCTTTGAAATTGTTACGGCTGTATGATACACAAGCTACTGAGAGGGTTTTCCTGTGCCCTGCACTTCACTCTCCCTGATAGTAGCAACTTGGTCGTGACAATTCAGTTACCAACACTAAGAAATCAACCTCAGTACTATCCCTGCCCCCACCCACGCACACACACTGTCCCTTTTCAGTCCCAGAACTCCATCTAAGACACGGCATGGCATGGGGTGAGCTCTTGGTAAAATCATGTTTCCTAGTCCTTTCCACGGTTCTCCTGCTTGCAGTTCTTAATTCCACAACCACAGCCCACGTGCGAACAGCGCCATGGCCCATGCAGGAAGGTCCCGCACGAGGAGCAGTTCGCAGCCTCAGCAGAACAGAACTGTAGCTTTATAGGAGCAAGTGAGTGCTGGCAGCCGCTGACAGAGGGTCGAGGCCATCTCTCTGTGGCCGCTAGAACTTAGGGCAGACTTGCTTTCCAGAGGCAGCAGCAGCCCGGAGCCCCTTGCGTCACCGCCTCGAGGCCACCTCTGCCTGCATGCTGGTTGACCAGTAGCTTCCTCACTTTTACTCACTGTTCCTTTTGTTGCCTCTAGTTCCTACTCCTTGGTGGGAAAGCTTCCCCTTCGTAAACCATCAGTGGAACAGGACGTTTCATGCAATGTTTGGTATTTTTATCTGGGTTTTTTCCTCCTCTTTCTTATTCCTATTTTTCGAGATGTATTTTATGTCTTTGCAAGGTAGAATTACAGAGAGGGAGAAGCACATACAGAGGAGAGAAAAGAGACAGATCTTTCATCTGCTGGTTCACGCTCCAAATGGCCACAGCGACCAGGGCTGGCTCAGGGGCCTAAACCAAGAGCCTGGGCTCCATCTGGGCCTCCCAGGTGCGTGACGAGGGTCCGAGTTCTTAGGCCATCTTGCGCTGCTTTCCCAGGTGCCACAGCAGGAGCGGGATTGGAAGCAGAGCAGCTGGGGCTCAGACCAGTGTTCCTGTGGGATGCCGGCATCGCGGGTCGGCGGTTTAACACACTGTACAACCATGCTAGCCTCTCCTGTGCTTTTCTAAGTGTAAAACTTTGTGCTGTTATAATCTCTCTCATGTCTTTACACTTTTCCACATGGCGATGTGTTGACATTTTCTGTGGACGCAAAGCCTTTGTAGAGGATCGCCTGTCAAGCCCCTTTGGTCAACAAAAGAGCTTTCTGGCATGAGGGACTTCAGAGGATTCATAGAAAAATAGAATTTAAACATGTTTTCTTAATATGCATTCAATGACTTAAAGAGTTGAAGAGTGAGTGGGAGACATGACAGAGAGGGCTTTCACCCACAGGTTTACTTCTCAGATGACTGTAACAGCCAGTGCTGGGCTAGGCGGGAGCCAGGAGCTGCATCTGGGTCTCCCACATGAATGCCAGGGCCCTCCCCTCCCCTGCTTTTCCCAGCACGTTAGCAGGAAGCTGGGTCGGAAGTGGGGCAGCCAAGACTTGAACTGCTGCACAAATGGGCTGTCAGTGCTGCAGGGGGTGGCTTTACCTACTGTAACACCGTGCTGGGCCACTAAAGGACCAACTTCATTCTGATGCAAAACTTTCTGAAATCTAGGTCTGATTTTTACAATGGGAATTTTTAAATAAATATATGTGCAACTTTTAAGATCTCTGACACCAGGATAAACACCTTTTAATTCCATTTTTCTGTGAATTTTTTTGGAACTACCTCCCTGAGTAAAGGTGGCCAGGGGGCCTGTACTTCTCAGTCCTCCTTCTTAAACAACGTGTCCTTCCTCTTTTAATGTCTTAGAGCCCAAAAGGAACCCCTTGTCAAGGCACACTGCTGAACAAATGTTTTGTGAACACTGAAATAAAAACCAGCTACAGTCAAATGATGGAAAATCGAACGGTTCCAAAGGCAGGTCCTAGCCTCTCTCCTTTGTGTTAAGCCAGGCTAGATTTTTGTGAAGGAAAAGTTCTGCCACCTGGTGGACAGTGCTGAAAATCGCACCTTTGACGAAACAGACTGATTCCTATGAAGATATGGAAGATACGGATATAGATATGGAAGTGACGTTGGATGTGACCTGGGCCTCTTCTTATAGGTGAACACCATGAGCCCTGTGGCACCCAGTTATTGATGGAGAAGGCAGTAAATGGTGGGACTGTACCCCGTTCCCGTCCTGACCTTAGTGTATAATAAATCCTGTTTGCAGTGCTTGTGACTGAGGTGGGTTTTCGAATGGCTCGGGCAATCTGATCTCTGAAGTATGTGACAGGGAGTGGGCACAGATGATTGTGTCGACCCCCTTGTCCTCGATTCCAGGTGGTTCCCACTGGCACCATCAGCAGCTGATGCTTAGAACAGGCAAAACCATTCAGGTGTTTTTTTTTTTTTTTTTAAAGATTTATTTATTTGAAAGTCAGAGTTACAAAGAGAAACAGAGAGCTTCCATCTGTTGGTTTACTGCCCCCGTGGCCTCCACAGCCAGCACTGTGTGGACCAGGCCCATCTTAGGAGCTTCTTCCAGGTTTCCCCCATGGGTTCAGGGCCAAGCACCTGCGCCGTGTCCCTCTGCTTTTCCCAGGTGCTTTGAGCAGGGAGCTGGATGGGATATGGAACAGTTAGGACTACAACCAAGGTCCATATGGAATGCCAGGAGCATCACATGTGGCAGCTTTACGTGCTGTCCTACAATGCTGGCCCCCGCCATTTGCTCTGTCCCACAGCTAGTAACCGCCAGAACTGGGACTGGAGTTCAGGTGTGTCGGATTCCCAAGCCGAGGAAGAGGTGGGGTCCCAGCCACCTGCACAGCAGAAAGCCCTAGGAGCCGAGCCCGGTCCAGGTCCCCCTACCCAGGACCTCCCGTCGCATTTATGTCTGACTGACAGCCAGTTCTCAGCTACCTGCAGATTCTCTGTGAAAGCTTGGCCCAGCTCCCTAGTGAGTCTGTTATTATAACCTGCCCCAGATAGAGAGACGGTGGGCGGGGAAGGACTGGGCACAAATCCATCCGTAAAGCTGACGAGGAGCTTTCAGAACAGAACAGGGAGTGAGTGTGAGAGTCTGAGATTCCTCTGTGAGCTTTATCTGAGCCCTCGCTTGGATCCTATTAGCATAGATTTTCGTGGAGT